GTCAACCGCGTGGCCCTCGGCGTCCAGTCGGAGCACGAAGTCAGCCATCGTGCAGGGTCAGCGGCACAGCTCCGCAGGAACAGGACGGCTGCGCCCTCCAACACGGCGCGGCAGGGCCAGGCAGGCGCGACGGGGCCCTGCAGCGCGGCGGGGCCAGGAGACGAGACGGGGCCAGGCAGGCGCGGCGGGGCCAGGCAGCGCGGCGGGGCCAGGAGACGCGGCGGAGCCAGGCAGGCGCGACGGGGCCAGGCAGGCGCGACGGGGCCAGGCAGGCGCGGCAGTGCCAGGCAGACGCGGCAGGGCCAGGCAGGCTCGACGGGGCCAGGCAGCGCGGCGGGGCCAGGAGACGCGGCGGGGCCAGGCAGGCGCGACGGGGCCAGGCAGGCGCGACGGGGCCAGGCAGGCGCGGCAGTGCCAAGTAGCGCGGCGGGGCCAGGCAGGTGCGGCAGTGCCAGGCAGGCGCGACGGGGCCAGGAGACACGGCAGGGCCAGGCAGGCGCGACGGGGCTATGCAGGCGCGGCGGGGCCAGGCAGCGCGGCGAGGGCCAGGCAGGCTCGACGGGGCCAGGCAGGCACAACGGGGCCAGGCAGGTGCGACGGGGTCGAGGAGGCACGAGGGGCCCAGGAGGGGCGTGACGGGCTAGAAGGTGCTGCAGGGGCCCAGGGGGGGGGGCGACGGGCGAGGAAACGCTACAGGAGCCCAGGAGGGGCGCGACGGGGCCCAGGCAGCGCGATGGGGCCCAGTGGGACGCGACGAGGTCTAGGAGGCACGATGGGGCCCAGGGGGGCGCGACGGGACCTACGGGGCACGAAGGGGGCCCAGGAGGGGCGCGACGGGGCCTAGGCAGCGCGATGGGGCCCAGGGGGGCGCGACGGGGCCTAGGAGGCGCGATGGAGCCCAGGGGGGCGCGACGAGGCCTAGGAGGCACGATGGGGCCCAGGGGGGCGCGACGGGGCCTACGGGGCACGAAGGGGCCCAGGAGGGGCGCGACGGGGCCTAGGCAGCGCGATGGGGCCCAGGGGGGGCGCGACGGGGCCTAGGCAGCGCGATGGGGCCCAGGGGGGCGCGACGGGGCCTAGGCAGCGCGGTGGGGCCCAGGGGGGCGCGACGGGGCCTAGGAGGAACGGAGGGGGTGGCGGGGCCTAGGAGGCACGGGCGGAAGCGGTAGGTGGAGGGGAACCAACCTACGGGTGATACCATTTCAAAGGAAAACTGAATAATAATTGACTAGAAGGAATTGTACAAGGACATATATCTAAGGGTTGTACTCTCTAAGAGATGACCCTATACAGTCTATACAAACATTGTAGATAAACATGTTTGACAAAAATCAGGCTGGAATCTGACGAGAAGAATTGTACGCAGTGAAGTCCGATCCGACATAAGAATCAGAAACTACAAAAATGTAGGCCTGATAAGTCAGACTAAAAAAAACAATTGGCCTGAAAAAACATGCCACGCCCAAAACCTGACCCTGAAAAACATGGGCTCTCACATGGGCGACCCTAAGCAATCAGCCTCCCTAAAACCAATCTGAGGGCCTGCCCATGAGTATTTTTCTGGCCATAAGTGGCGAAGACACACATATGGATGAGGCACACACACAAATACCAAAATACCCACTTCTCTAAATGAGGGGAAGTCCCATAATACAGCTGTTGAAGCGAGCGGAAGAGTTCTGCTCTCTGCTGCTGCAGGGTCTTCTAGATTGGTTGTTGTACGGTTGGTAGCACTGACGTCACCTCCACTGCAGTCCACCATGAAGCAGCATACTGTCAAATTATATATCTTGTGCGGCGTCATGGCGGCGTCGTCGACGTGCTGCCATGGCGGCGTCGACGCGCCAGCGCACGGGTGGCAGCGGGCCGTGCATCGATTTAGGCGCCAGCCATGACGCCCGCACGCCAGCCAGTGCGCCAGCCATGGGCGCCTTGCTGAAGCAGCCAAGTGCCGCGAGCTTCGCAGTCGCCGCCGTTGTCGTCGAAGCCACCGCCGCCACCGCCGTCGCCGTTGTCGTCGTCGTAGAAGCCGTCGCTGACGCCATTGCTGTCACCCACCGCCGCTTCGCACGAGGGGTAGAAGTCACACCTGCTACTGGACATGCGGATAGACATGATCAAAATGCGATAGCGATTTAAATCGCATCGCATTTTGGCGCGATGTAAAAAAAAACGATGCGATTTAAAACCACACATCGTTTTTTGATCGCGATGTATTAAAAAACCGCATGCGGTCTTTTTTAAAATTGCGCGATGCGATATTAAATCGCATCGCGTTTACGACGTTACTTAAAACAGCTCTAAAAATATTGATTAAAAAAAAAAAAAAAAAAACAAGAGGCGACGAAATCGTCTTAGGGTTGCGGAGCTCTTTTGTATAAAAAAGACGGAAAATAAATACTTTTGCTAGTATACTACTCAGAAATAACCCAAACCCGAAGTACACAACATTTAGAAGTGTATGTAAATGAAAAATATTCTGTGTTTTTATATTATTCAAATTATGAACATGTCACGACTGCCAAGCGTGAAAACCGCCACCTAGAGCTGGTTCTTCCATTTCCATGTTTTAGATTCTTATGTTACTTTTCTGTATTGTTTATTATTACGTTACAATTCTTACTTTATCTCGTTTTCGTTTTCGTTTTAGTATCGTCTTTCTCGATACTGTGCGATATGATTTCCCTGCCCGGTGGCGAAAGTTGCCACTTGGCAGATTTTGTTTTTTTGCGCCTAGTGGCGAGGCTCGTCACGCGCACAATTTCTGACGGAAATACTGTAGCCGTCCAGTGACGTCAAATTTGTTCTGCCACCCGTTCGGATTTTTTTTCGTCAAAGCGATCCGGCTTTTTCAACGACGCGAATTACGAGGGCGTATTTTTAATTTCGAATTTCATTGATTTTCACCGATTGTTTTGTTATGGAACTGGCAATACGCGAAACAATGAATTTCGAACTCGTAGTTCCGTAGTATTGAACGCAACACGTACAATTAGTCAAATAGATAAAACACGCCCTGACAAGTTCGAAAACTAGTTCACAAATTGCAATCTGGCTGGGCAGTTTCTGATGGAAAAGAGAAAATAGATTGAACTTCCTTCAGATCAGCGAGAGCCTGGCCGTTCCACCCACATTCTCCAACTTTTCTTTCTCCCTCTCACACAATTCTTCCTCCATTCCTCAATCTCACAGCTTTCTCGTCACCTCCAGCAGTTAGCGTTCTAGCGTTCCAGCCAAGGCCATCCCATAGTTGGGTTAAGTCATCGTTTCTCTCTCAGCTTGTCGTCAACCTCCTAGCTTGATAGTCATGCTAGCTTTTCCCTCCTTTCTTTCCCTAGGCCTCTCTCTTCTTATATTCTTTGCTGCTTTCCTCCAACAAATAAACATCCTCTCACTTTTTCATATCCCTTATGTCTCTAGGTGCTCTAGCTTGTTAAGGAACCACGGGTAATCACCTTTCAACTTTATTTCAAGGTACGGATTCTACCCTCCCGCCATGCCCTTCTCCTCTGCTCTCGTCCATACCTTGACTCAATTCTTTCTTTCTCCCCACCATTACGGGAAATCGTTCCTTACGTCCCCTCTCCTTTGCCCGCCTTTTCACCCTCCTAGTCCGTCGTAACCACTTCTTTGCCCGCCGTCTCCCCCCTCCTTGCATGTCGTTTTACCTCTCTCTCTCTCTCTCTCTCTCTCTCTCTCTCTCTCTCTCTCTCTCTCTCTCTCTCTCTCTCTCTCTCTCTCTCTCTCTCTCTCTCTCTCTCTCTCCCTCCCTCTCTGCCTCTCTCTACCTCTCTTTCAACTTCTCTCTCTTCGTCTCTTTCCTTTCACCATCACATTTTGTGTTAACTTCCCATGCCTATTCGTTCTCGGCCTAGCTGCTTGTTATTCACTCCCAATGCCTAATATAATATCCACTTTAATTGTGTGCAGGTTTTCTTGTAAACGCGTTTATGAGTTCCCTACGGCGTTTTGCTGTAATTCGTTGGGATGTTCAATTATCTCATTTTCAGCTTTATATTCTTATAATTGCTGGCGTCATGTGTTTGGTCTGATGTGTCTTGCTGCTGTTATTTGCTCTCATTCTCGATCCACAGCAATGCATGTCTGTATTTCGAAAAAAGAAAGCATGCTTATCAAATCACAAACGGTTCACAGGCGAGCTCCTTGAGTTTCTGTCTCGAACTGGATTTGATAGGTTTTGTTTCTTTTTTTGGACATTACAGATTGCGTTGCTCCATCATTCAGACACTAGGCTTGCTGACTTCCCCCCCATGCTAGCGCTGGGGAAGCGGTAGCTTAGAGTTTGAGTTTTTCACTGTCACATAATCATCAATTTTTTTTTTCATGTCATGAATGATGACATGAATTTTCTTGCACGACTCGATTGGATCCGTACACAACGATGTGATGCAATCAGACAAGAGGCCTGCAAAAATTTTACAGTATACCAGAAATCAACCAAATATGGTGCAAATATTATTTCAAAATAGATGCATTTGATTCCTATTATAGAATAAACACCTCTAGTATTTTATTACATTCATAGGAAGAGAACAAAAGCTGTAGGTCATATTTTATTGTGCAAAGGTTTTCCATCCAAACTTTTGAGTGAAAAAAAAATTCGGCAAAATCGATCGTAATAGGTTGCTCCGCAACCCAAAAAAAAACGGCGACTACTGAAATTTGGAACACGGGATGGGGTGAGGGCGTTTCAGGATAAATAATATGGTTAAGATTGGGTTTCACACAGGTATGAGCCCCCGTGGTTTAAAGCCCAGGTCCCAGATTAGAGAAGTCAGACCCGAACCTGCATCAAACTGGGGGCAGTTTGATGTAGGTTCGGGCTGGTAACTGAATCCACACCCCCTTGAACACAAAATGAGCCCAAGCCGAACCTGCGGGGTTTTCGCAAGCGAGAGAGACGAATTCCTCAGTCAAGGGCAATCCCCTCGGAGCTGGCCCCGGAAAGCCCAACAGCAACAGCAACTCAATGCATGGGCCAACTTGATCTGGAAATATGGGACCAAGCAAACCATCGAGTACGGGGCTTTCGCGTGACAAGAGCAACAGAATAGAGACTGAAGGGACTAGAGTCGACTCAAGATCGAAACGCCAAGTACATCATAAGGTTTAACGTGAGGATAGGAGAGTAAGCGCGCCAAAGGATGGCGCCGCGAGACGGTAATGTGGCGCGCGGGTAGATAGGAAAGGCGACGTTGGATAGGAAAGGCGATACGGAAAGTTGGCGCGAGGGCGAAAAAGAAATGCCAGGCGGAAGAAAAGCGCGAGGGCGAATAGGAAATGCGCTGCGAAAAGAAAGAAGCGAGGGCGGAGAGGAGAGGAGAGGCGGAAAGGTGACGCCAGGGCGGACAGGAATGTATTAGGGAAATTTGAAGCGAGGGCGGATAGGAAATGGGAGGTGGGAAGGAGGTGCGCCGCGGAGAGGAGGGCGTGGAGAGTGACGCTGACAGATCGCGTGAAGGAGATGCGAGGGGGGAAGGGGACGCGACGGGGAGAGAGGGGACGCGGCGAGGAGAGGGGACGCGGCGAGGAGGGGGGACGCGACGAGGAGAGGGGACGCGGTGCGGAGGGGGGAAGCGACGAGGAGAGGGGACGCGGTGAGGAGGGTGGACGCGACGAGGAGAGGGGACGCGGTGCGGAGGGGGGAAGCGACGAGGAGAGGGGACGCGGTGAGGAGGGCGGACGCGACGAGGAGAGGGGACGCGGTGCGGAGGGGGGAAGCGACGAGGAGAGGGGACGCGGTGAGGAGGGCGGACGCGACGAGGAGAGGGGACGCGGTGCGGAGGGGGGAAGCGACGAGGAGAGGGGACGCGGTGAGGAGGGCGGACGCGACGAGGAGAGGGGACGCCGTGAGGAGGGGGGACGCGACGAGGAGAGGGGACGCCGTGAGGAGGGGGGATGCGACGAGGAGAGGGGACGCGACGGAGGGAGGGGGTGCGGCGGGAGGTGAGGCGGAGAGGCGAGGAGGAGAGGGGAGGAGGAGAGGTGGGGAGGAGAGGTGCGGCGGAGAGGCGCGGAGGAGAGGGGAGGAGGAGAGGTGGGGAGGAGAAGTGAGGCGGAGTGGCGAGGAGGAGAGGGGAGGAGGGGAGGTGGGGAGGAGAGGTGAGGCGGGGAGGCGAGGAGGAGAGGGGAGGAGGAGAGGTGGTGAGGAGATGTGAGGCGGAGTGGCGAGGAGGAGAGGGGAGGAGGAGAGGTGGGGAGGAGAGGTGAGGCGGAGAGGCGAGGAGGAGAGGGGAGGAGGAGAGGTGGGGAGGAGAGGTGAGGCGGAGAGGCGAGGAGGAGAGGGCAGGAGGAGAGGTGGGGAGGAGAGGTGAGGCGGAGAGGCGAGGAGGAGAGGGGAGGAGGAGAGGTGGGGAGGAGAGGTGAGGCGGAGAGGCGAGGAGGAGAGGGGAGGAGGAGAGGTGGGAGGAGAGGTGAGGCGGAGAGGCGAGGAGGAGAGGGGAGGAGGAGAGGTGGTGAGGAGAGGTGAGGCGGAGTGGCGAGGAGGAGAGGGGAGGAGGAGAGGTGGGGAGGAGAGGTGAGGCGGAGAGGCGAGGAGGAGAGGGGAGGAGGAGAGGTGGGGAGGAGAGGTGAGGCGGAGAGGCGAGGAGGAGAGGGCAGGAGGAGAGGTGGGGAGGAGAGGGGGGGGGGGAGGAGGGGGAGGAGAGGTGAGGAGAGGGGAGGAGGAGAGGGGGGAGGAGAGGTGAGGCGGAGAGGCGAGGAGGAGAGGGGAGGAGGAGAGGTGGGGAGGAGAGGTGAGGCGGAGAGGCGAGGAGGAGAGGGGAGGAGGAGAGGTGGGGAGGAGAGGTGAGGCGGAGAGGCGAGGAGGAGAGGGAGGAGGAGAGGTGGGGAGGAGAGGTGAGGCGGAGAGGCGAGGAGGAGAGGGGAGGAGGAGAGGTGGGGAGGAGAGGTGAGGCGGAGAGGCGAGGAGGAGAGGGGAGGAGGAGAGGTGGGGAGGAGAGGTGAGGCGGAGAGGCGAGGAGGAGAGGGGAGGAGGAGAGGTGGGGAGGAGAGGTGAGGCGGAGAGGCGAGGAGGAGAGGGGAGGAGGAGAGGTGGGGAGGAGAGGTGAGGCGGAGAGGCGAGGAGGAGAGGGGAGGAGGAGAGGTGGGGAGGAGAGGAGAGGCGGAGAGGCGACGAGGAGAGGGGAGGAGGAGAGGTGGGGAGGAGAGGTGAGGCGGAGAGGCGAGGAGGAGAGGGGAGGAGGAGAGGTGGGAGGAGAGGTGAGGCGGAGAGGCGAGGAGGAGAGGGGAGGAGGAGAGGTGGGGAGGAGAGGTGAGGCGGAGTGGCGAGGAGGAGAGGGGAGGAGGGAGGTGGGGAGGAGAGGTGAGGCGGAGAGGCGAGGAGGAGAGGGGAGGAGGAGAGGTGGTGAGGAGAGGTGAGGCGGAGAGGCGAGGAGGAGAGGGGAGGAGGAGAGGTGGGGAGGAGAGGTGAGGCGGAGGGCGGAGGAGGAGAGGGGAGGAGGAGAGGTGGGGAGGAGAGGTGAGGCGGAGAGGCGAGGAGGAGAGGGGAGGAGGAGAGGTGGGGAGGAGAGGTGAGGCGGAGAGGCGAGGAGGAGAGGGGAGGAGGAGAGGTGGGGAGGAGAGGTGAGGCGGAGTGGCGAGGAGGAGAGGGGAGGAGGGGAGGTGGGGAGGAGAGGTGAGGCGGAGAGGCGAGGAGGAGAGGGGAGGAGGAGAGGTGGGGAGGAGAGGAGAGGCGGGAGGCGACGAGGAGAGGGGAGGAGGAAAGGTGGGGAGGAGAGGTGAGGCGGAGAGGCGAGGAGGAGAGGGGAGGAGGAGAGGTGGGGAGGAGAGGTGAGGCGGAGAGGCGAGGAGGAGAGGGGAGGAGGAGGGGGGAGGAGAGGTGAGGCGGAGGGCGAGGAGGAGAGGGGAGGAGGGGAGGTGGGGAGGAGAGGTGAGGCGGAGAGGCGAGGAGGAGAGGGAGGAGGAGAGGTGGGAGGAGAGGTGAGGCGGAGTGGCGAGGAGGAGAGGGGAGGAGGAGAGGTGGGGAGGAGAGGTGAGGCGGAGAGGCGAGGAGGAGAGGGGAGGAGGAGAGGTGGTGAGGAGAGGTGAGGCGGAGTGGCGAGGAGGAGAGGGGAGGAGGAGAGGTGGGGAGGAGAGGTGAGGCGGAGAGGCGAGGAGGAGAGGGGAGGAGGAGAGGTGGGGAGGAGAGGTGAGGCGGAGAGGCGAGGAGGAGAGGGGAGGAGGAGAGGTGGGGAGGAGAGGTGAGGCGGAGAGGCGAGGAGGAGAGGGGAGGAGGAGAGGTGGGGAGGAGAGGTGAGGCGGAGAGGCGAGGAGGAGAGGGGAGGAGGAGAGGTGGGGAGGAGAGGTGAGGCGGAGAGGCGAGGAGGAGAGGGGGGGAGGGGGGGGGGGGGGGAGAGGGAGGAGGAGAGGTGGGAGGAGAGGTGAGGCGGAGAGGCGAGGAGGAGAGGGGAGGAGGAGAGGTGGGGAGGAGAGGTGAGGCGGAGAGGCGAGGAGGAGAGGGGAGGAGGAGAGGTGGGGAGGAGAGGTGAGGCGGAGAGGCGAGGAGGAGAGGGGAGGAGGAGAGGTGGGGAGGAGAGGTGAGGCGGAGAGGCGAGGAGGAGAGGTGAGGAGGAGAGGTGGGGAGGAGAGGTGAGGCGGAGAGGCGAGGAGGAGAGGGGAGGAGGAGAGGTGGGGAGGAGAGGTGAGGCGGAGAGGCGAGGAGGAGAGGTGAGGAGGAGAGGTGGGGAGGAGAGGTGAGACGGAGAGGCGAGGAGGAGAGGGGAGGAGGAGAGGTGGGGAGGAGAGGTGAGGCGGAGAGGCGAGGAGGAGAGGGGAGGAGGAGAGGTGGGGAGGAGAGGTGAGGCGGAGAGGCGAGGAGGAGAGGGGAGGAGGAGAGGTGGGGAGGAGAGGTGAGGCGGAGAGGCGAGGAGGAGAGGGGAGGAGGAGAGGTGGGGAGGAGAGGAGAGGCGGAGAGGCGAGGAGGAGAGGGGAGGAGGAGAGGTGGGGAGGAGAGGTGAGGCGGAGAGGCGAGGAGGAGAGGGGAGGAGGAGAGGTGGGGAGGAGAGGTGAGGCGAGGAGGAGAGGGGAGGAGGAGAGGTGAGGAGGAGAAGTGGGGAGGAGAGGTGAGGCGGAGTTGCGAGGAGGATAGGGGAGGAGGAGAGGTGGGGAGGAGAGGTGAGGCGGAGAGGCGAGGAGGAGAGGGGAGGAGGAGAGGTGGGGAGGAGAGGTGAGGCGGAGTGGCGAGGAGGAGAGGGGAGGAGGAGAGGTGGGGAGGAGAGGTGAGGCGGAGAGGCGAGGAGGAGAGGGGAGGAGGAGAGGTGGGGAGGAGAGGTGAGGCGGAGAGGCGAGGAGGAGAGTGCAGCGTTTACCTCCTCTTCCTCCAACCCTCTGCCCCACCACGCTCTCCCCCCTCATCACTCCACTCTCCCACCATCACACCCCTCTTCTCACCTTGAGGATAGCAGCAGCAGCAGCGGCAGCTCCCTGGTGCTGCCTGCGCCGCACTCGGGCCCCTTTATGGAGGGCCCGGAGTGCGAGACGCCCAATTTCAGGGGCAGGGGGGTGCCACCAAACGATAGAGGGGTAGGGGCAGCGGCTCCTGCTGCTAGTGCTGCTGCTAGCACTGCTGCTGGGGCTGCCACCTCCTCCTACACTTTCTCCACTCTGTTGCTGTTAAAGATACAATATATCTTCACCTGTTTATGTTAATTATCAATAATTTCAGAAACCACCAACGTTCCATACTCTATCCACAACAGCATGGCTATCACCAGCAGAGGAACACGGCACTACCAATAGCTGCAAGAGTGGGAGCAGAGGTGGTGCTGAGAGCACGAGTGGGAGGAGCGTTTCAAGTGAGCAGCAGGAGATGGTGATCGATCTCTAGTTTGGCTCTGCTTCTTCCCCCGCCCGAAACCCTCCATACATGTTCCACTGCCTAAAAAAGAAATGCAACATCATCCCTATCATTAAATAACAACGAGAAGGATGTGTATAAGAATGATGAGCTCACTTGCAACCACTAGTACCTCACTTGCAACTTAGCAAGCGTGACAAGCTCCATGTGAAAAGAGTACATATTATGTTAAGTTACAACAGCTTGATAGTCCTTCCTACCCCCAATCATCACCCGTCAGTAGGAGTCGTTGTGGGGAGGGGAGTACCAGGGCCCAAAATTGGTTTTAGGCCACTCTTTGAGATCAGAGTAGGAAAAAAAAAACGCCCTGACGGTCAGAGCTAAAAAAATTCAAAGTCTGATTTGGCAGGGTAAAAAAATTCGAAGTCTTTGCTTCAAGTGTAGAACTCTTTGCACCCTTTCTAGCCTTGGCCATTTAAGGAACATTTTACATGAATGAAGTGGGCTGCACTGAGGTGTGGAAAGAAGGGTGTAGCGGATTTGCGCGTGCTGGGGGAGATTGGGGGATGGGATGGGACGGAAAACGATTCTGGGGCGCGAGAGGGGAATCAGATTTACATGGGCGGCAGAGGGGCGGGAAAAAAACCATCTGCTCGTGATTGGTTGGGTGTCAGAAGGGCGTATACGACGTGACGTGTCTTGCTGTGGTGTGGAGGACTTAGCGAAAAAAAAAAAAGTAGCGGGGGTGTGGTTGGGAGGCATGTCTCTTGTGGGGGACTTAGCCATTTCTGGGTTGCGAGGGGGTGAGGGAGCTATGACTCTGGCTACGACTTAGCCGAAATTGCTGGCTTGCATGGTGCGTGGGGTGGGAGGAATGACTCTGGCTGCCAGGGACTTCGTCGAAATTTTTGGTTGCAGGGTGTTTTGGGGGAAATGTTTCTGGCCGCCAAGGACTTAGTCGGAATCTCGGAGTTTCGATACCAGGGTAGTTTTCAGGACGCCCTGAAGGGTCAGGGTTCGGGGCCCCGCAACCCTAGTTTCGGCAGGGTAATATTTTCGTAACACTTTTTGGATCAGGGTAATAAATTTCGTAAGTCTGATTTTTAAGACCAAATGAAAAAATGCCCTGAAAAATCAGGGCAATCAGGGCATTTTACCCGGCTAATTTGAGCCCTGGGGAGTACCCCCCGGTCAGCAGATCCGGATTGCCTGAAGCCACCTGGGAGTAGAGCGAAGGATCTGAGGGCGCCCCACCGCCAAAACTGCCACCACCACCCCCACCGATAGCACCGCTGCCCACCCCTCAAGAGCCACCAGCAGCGGGTCTGTTCGGTGCTGCGGCAGCAGCGGTGGCTGCAATGGCAGCAATAGCGCCTACCTCCGCACTCCAGCTGACGCTGGGTTTGTGGCAGACCCAACCAGCCCCTGCTGCTGCTGCTGCTGCAGCTGGTGGTATCCCTTTCACCTCCTCCCACCCTCAACGCTGCTGCCCCTGATGGTACTCATGCTATTTGTACTCCTCCCCTGCCTCCTGCTTTCTGACCCATCCCTGCAGCAGCAGCTTGATAGTCCTTCCTACCCCCAATCATCACCCGTCAGTAGGAGTCGTTGTGGGGAGGGGAGTACCCCCCGGTCAGCAGATCCGGATTGCCTGAAGCCACCTGGGAGTAGAGCAAAGGATCTGAGGGCGCCCCACCACCAAAACTGCCACCACCACCCCCACCGATAGCACCGATGCCCACCCCTCAAGAGCCACCAGCAGCGGGTCTGTTCGGTGCTGCGGCAGCAGCGGTGGCTGCAATGGCAGCAATAGCGCCTACCTCCGCACTCCAGCTGATGCTGGGTTTGTGGCAGACCCAACCAGCCCCTGCTGCTGCTGCTGCTGCAGCTGGTGGTATCCCTTTCACCTCCTCCCACCCTCAACGCTGCTGCCCCTGATGGTACTCATGCTATTTGTACTCCTCCCCTGCCTCCTGCTTTCTGACCCATCCCTGCAGCAGCAGCAGCATCAGCTGCTGCAATAGAGCCAGCCGCAGCGGCGACAGCAACAGCAGTTGCCAAGCCACCAGCAGCACCAGACACTGTGACCTCCAGCAGCCCACCCTCCCCTGAATCCCCCCTCCCTGAGTCTCCCCTCCTTGACTCTCCCCCCCCTGACTGCCTTCCAGCTGAATCCCCTCCCACACTCTGCCTCAACCAACTCCCTCTCACCCCTCCTCCCACCCCCACACCCCCACCAGACCCAACATCCCCACCTCTCCCACCTCCCCCCCCTGCAATCCCCACACCAGTAAACCCTCCCCCAGGTGCCATTCGAGTCGCCCTGGCCCTCCCCTCCCGACTCACAGGCCTTGACCAATGCGGAGAAGGCTCCAGATCCCTCCATATGCCCGCCGATGATGGGGAGGGGGTGGAAAGAGGAGCATACCGCATGCCGAACGGGGCGGTGGTGGCGGTATGGGCGGGGGAGGGTGAAGGGGAGGCAAGGTTGGAGTAGCGGCCGTGCTGGAGCACCTGTTGCTGGTGCTGCTGGTAATGGTGGTTGTGGTGGTGGTAGTGCTGCTGCTGGTGATTCCCAGAAGGAGTGGCATCAACAGAGCGGGCAGGGGAGGAGACGTGAGAGGGGGAGGTGGGGACTGGATCAGGGATGATGGATGAGGTGAGCAAGCTGCCGAAGATGGGAGCGGAGCCGGGCGCGGCCCTGCTGAGGCGAGCCGTGAAGAAGAAGGACGAGCCCTGGTTGGGCTCGCTCTCTAGCCAGATCTCCCCGCCCATCACATGCACCAGGCTGGGGGGTGTGGGCGGGGGAGGGGAAGAGAAGACAAGGATTGGTGGAGCAAAAGGAAGGACGATGAGCCCTGGCTGGGCTCGCTCTCCAACCAGATCTCCCCCCACATCATGTGCACCAGGCTGTGAGGGGGGGGGAGTGGGGGAGGGGAGCTGGACAAAGGGACAGCGCAGTCAGCCCATCCTCTACCACCCGTGATCTTCCCTCTAACACCCCTGACCTTCCCTCCTCTTCCACCCCTGACCTTCCCTCCTCTACCACTCCTGATCCGGGCCCGGGCCCGGGTACCTGCACTTGCTCCCTCTCCCACAAGTTCCAACCGCCCCCCCTTCCTCCCATGCTCCCCCTCCACTGTGCCTGCTGCTCCCATGCCCATGTTCCCGCAACTGTTGGGGGGAGGTGAAGAGAGAGTGGAGACGGGAGGGAAGAGGGGGGTTGGAGGTGGGAGGGGGGAGGGGGTGGGTTGAAGAGGGACGAGTGGCCCTTGTTCTGCAGATACGCAAGTAAAAGGGGCAGGACACAAGAAGAGGACCCTTGAACTGGAATGTTCTCAAGAATAGAAGAACAGATTTTGGGCATTCAGAGATGAGCACTGATGTGAGGGGAGAGAGATGGGATACAGAGGGCCCACGGAGCAACTGCGGACTCACAACATTCCGCTATGGGATCATGTAAACGTAGGCCACCTTGGTGTCTTTGCTCCCCCACACCGATTGGGATGCGACAGCACACCCACCGTGTACAGGGTACGAAAGCGCTCACGGTCAGCGATGTAGGCCCGACATGACACCTTGTAAACCGCAAGAGTAGTGAGGGGCATGGAAAAGCAAGAACGTATGGGCTCCATTTTTAGTAGGTCACTCATGTCGTAGTTAGAGATGAATGATTCGAAACAATCTCCACTAGCGATACCCACACACTTGCCCCTCATTAAATGCGTGCGACGACATGGGCACAAGCATGCAATCACTCACCAGCTAGACTGCGTCGCACCCCGGGGCGCGTCCCATGCGTCATGCGCCTTGTAGCCCACGGGATCACTGGAGTTATCGGATTCTCCACACCATTGCCAAATGGAAACCGGGATGCCGCCTCTGTCCGAGCCCTTACTGCCACAGGTTCTTCTGAGTCCTCCCCCTCTGCACCCCCTTCCCCGAATTCGTCCGTTGCGCAACGCCATTCCTGCAAGATGTTGTCGACCCATCCCCATTCCATTGGGCCAAGCACCCGGTCCCGCCGGCCCCGCCGCACCCGTGTTGTATGCCGCACCCTGGTGACGTAAGCTCTGACGATGCGGTCCATGGTATTGTTCCAGTGCAGGACAGCCAGGGCTACTCGCGCATCATAACTCCCCTGGAACCTAATGCGTTTAGGCGCATACTTTATGATAAGCGAGTGAAACGACTCGTTCATTGAACTAGTTGCTCCCTCCACAATGCACGCGACCTTGGCGGGACTAAAGTGTAGTTGGCACCAATCCTGCACTGCCTTGTGGGTCGGAGAATTGGGTAAGTACACAGCACTCTCCACACCCCAATTCTCTGACACACACCTCGGTGCACGCTCGCCTGCCCTATGGCAGCGTGAATGATCACCAGCCCAATGATCAGCCGCGCAGCATAACTCCTCTGAAAGTACCTCGGGGGATCGTGGGTGACCCCCCTCTGCTGATGCACTGCAGCGCATCATGCAATGGTAGAAATGAACACCTAGCCGGTCGGCCACTGTCACCTCCTTTACCCTTGGCCCTGCATCACCAGCACCTGTGCCATCCCCACCCGTCCCACGCCTAGTCCGCCTACGTGGTGCTCGCCTTCCCCACCTCCTTGTGGTCACTTCCCCAGCGGCACCCTCGGAGTTGATATTTTCGTCTCCCTCGGCCGCCACCCTTCCAGACCCCGCACCGATGTCTGTTACTGTGGCGCCGGTGTGGTCGCCTTGCCCTGCCCACAATCAAGAAAAGGGGGTTCGAATAGAACATGTAAGGCGGGATATAGGGTACGCACTATGGGCACTATGCGTACAGATGCATATGCTTACCCCTAATGGTCTCTTCATCATCGGCGCCATCTCCCATGAAGTGTGTATTATCACCTATTCTGCTCCAAGCTTGCACAAGTAGCATTGATGCATGTGACGAGGGTCGTACCCCGTGCACGGGATGCGCATCGTATCCCCATAACTCATCCACATCGGCCCAACGGACCTCGGCAACAGGAACCTCGCCATGCAGAGCTTCCTCTGCTGCACCATCGCCATCCCCGTCTGTGGCCATGTATGCCCTTTCAGACTCTCCCACATCCTCCTCTTGCCGT